CAGGTTCAGAATGTTTGGCCCAGCAGAGCTTTCCAGTAATTGACTGGGGACTGATGATTTGCTGTTAAATTTGAATTAAATGTGTACTATGTGTTGTGCTGGATGTTTGAAACTACAGAGAGATATAAACACAGGTCCTTTTCCCCAAAAGCAGAGACAAACACAAAAATAATTAGTTGAGCATCTGTCACGGATGAGGTTCTATGTTAGAAACTTAAGATGTACATTACATACATTTCATCCCAACAACATCCCTGAGATAAGTCCTGTTACCTCTGGAGGAAACAATTGATTGTTGGTGGAAAAGCATGTAAATAATGTATAAGAATTGACACAGCGTTATGCTTTGGAGCCAGGGTTCCCACCCAGGTCTGACTGCAAAACTTCCGTGCATTCCCCTGTACCACACTGGTGGTATATTCTACTCTGTGATAAACCAATTCCTTCATTTATTTAGTGTGTTATAAATAAGAGCACCATCTAGTAACAGACTCGAGTACATGATCCAGGTGCATAATTCTCCTGGGATTGGCACTAAGTCTATGAACCTTTTTCATGGTGTTTAATGTTTAACCCCTAGTTCCTTTCCAGCTAGAGAATTTGGAATAGGGATCTCTTTAAGCTAAAATCATTAAAATGTAGGGATAATTGTTTGGGATGCTCTTACAACATATCTACTTTCTGTTATTTTTGTTTTTGGAAAGGAACCCTATCCTAGCACCCTTTGGCGAGAGAATTAGGGTAGCTGTGAAAGGAGTACTGTCCTAGCTTAATAAACTTAAAAATAAGTGATGGTCATCCATCCTTAAGGAAGTAAGGGCCATATGATCAGAACTAGGCAGTGTCGGGGAGAATAATCAAGGTTTGCCAAAGCTGCCTGTGTTCTCTCTTGTTATGGAGGAGAGGGACATTAAAAAGCCTGTGACAGGGAGAGATGGCGAATGATAGACAGGGGCTGTTAGATCAGAGCAGCCAGGTGAACGTTTAGAAAGCTTGCTTCCAGGTATTCTTAGAAACCCTTAAAATCAGCAGCCAAATTATTTA